TGATCCAGCACAGTGCACTTTTCGATTGTGGCACTGCTGGGCTTGAATCGCCCAAAGTGTTGGGAATGGACCCAGCCAGCTGGGCGTGAATCGGGTACCAGCTGATCCAGCACAGTGCACTTGTCGATTGTGCCAGTGCTGGGCCTGAATCACCCACCAGCTGGTTCGGCACTTTCCCCAATGGCAATGGTTAGCCGATATTCTGCTGTGCATCCCCCAATGTTACATGCCCAGTTGGGCGATGTACATCAATAACCGAGGATCCGCAATGTGATAAAAAGGACGGAATGGACAATGCCGTGCAAGTGAAATCTCAACAAGCAGTGTACATTCTGATACATGCAAAAATGGTGCTTTATAGCGCAGGGGAAGACTTAGATACAAGTCCTGACCTGACCGGGACTGACCTCTATCACGTAGTGCAAGACAGCGCAGCAGAATGCTAGAATACCAATGACTAGCCCAATCAATGTTTTGCAACGCAGACCAAACATACATCATCCTCATCACAAGGTGTGAAGGGGCCTGGCGCTACACACAGGAAGAATGCGCCAGGTCCTAATCATGCACAGACAAAGAGGAGGGGAACAGACGAAGAGGAGGGGGAGAGATGGGAATGTCGTCAACACCAAGTCTTTGTTACAAGTCCCAAATAATCCCTCATCAAAATGTCGGAAGCCCAATGTCGGGTCTGGATCCGAATGTCACCAAGCCTGCTCTCTCATAGTCTGCTGATGCAGTGAAGACAGGTAGCGAGAGGGTGAGAGGGAGATGGTGGACTGAGAAGAGGAAGAAGAAGAACTCTCTCCTTCCCGTGTGCCAGGTACTAACCTGTGAAGTTGGCGCTGTGCTGCAGGTACCTCGAAGACGGAGCTGGAGCTATGGCGCTGCAGGTAAGTCTCCCTGGCCTCCGCCCAATCTCTCTCTCTCTCCAGTACTACTCTAGCTCCTACTAGCGCCCAGCGCTGAAGACTACTGCTAACGCTACTAACGCCCAGCGCTTAAGACTACTGCTAGCGCTACTACTACTCCTGCAGCGCTCCTCCAGAGTGCTGCTGCCGAATCCGGAAGACTACCTCCTGCCTCCTGAACTGCACGTGAAGTGCCTGGAAAGTACCTAGGAACTACCTGCAGCCTGCAGGGCGGGCCAGTCCTATATAGTGCTGGCTCGTCCAGGAGGGTGATCTTGCCAATGCCAAAACGTGCCAGACCCTGGCGTTGAAGCTCAACCAGGGGTTGTCTTGAAAACAGACCCAGAATGGCCGGTGCTAAAACCCTGGTTTGGTGCCTGAGTCTCAGGGCAGGTCGAACTCATGAGGGCCTCAAAGTGGCCCTCAGTTTCAGGCTGAAAAGACTCAGGGCCGGAAAGGCCCTGATTTAGGCTGAAACCACACAGGGCCTGTAGGCCCTTGTTTTCAGGCTTTCAGGCTGAAGCGGCACGGGGCCTGTAGGCGTTTGTTTTCAGGCTTTCGGCCTGAAAACGTCACGGGCCTGAAAGTGGCCCGCGCAGCATGTAACACCCAAGCTATTCTCCCTTTCAGCACCTTGCAGGAGCAGTATGGATGCCTGTCTTCTTTTTTGTGCGGTGCCTGCCAGAGGGAAGCAGTGCCAGTTATAGAAGAATTCTGCCGTCGTCTTGACCTTGTTCTTCAAGCTTGGGCTTGCTGGCACTGCCTAGGCAGAGCCTATAGATCCCCCGTAGAGGCGTGCATGCTAGGAGGTATCAAGCGGGCAGTACATGAGGAAGGCACCGGAAGGAGGAAAGAAGAATGTTGGGCGATGAGCAGTGAAGGGAGGTGATCTGTGTCTCTCTTTAAACCTATTCGGTACTCGATGGATATTGAATTCTTCTTCCAGACTCTGGGCTGTCGTCGCTGGGAGATGTTCACTTCAAAGCTCAAAGTTGCAATGGTAGTTGTTGAGGAGTATGTGGACTCAATGGAGGGACAGTTGATGCGAGGTGGGGGAGGGGCGAGGAGAGGTTTGAATGAACGCGGCAAGAAGGGGATTGAGACTTTGTATGCATCCACTTTCTAGGTCTCATTTTCCATGTGCGGACGACATGCGTTTGTGCCTACCAGAGGCTGCGGTTATGAGGCCTTTTGTGCAAGGGCGCATGAGTATTGCTTTCTACGGAGGACAGCTGAAGATTTATTGCAGTTACATCTACATATATGACCCTCTGTTCTGTCCAGTTTCATTTGTCTGAGTGTTTTTTTTAGTAAACGTGGCAAGAAGTGGATTGAGACTCTGTATGCATCCACTTGCTAGATCTCATTTTTCTCCTTGTGCCGACATGTGTTTGTGCCTACTAGAGGCTGCGGTTATCAGCCCTTTCGTGTAAGGGCGCATGAGTATTGTTGCTTTCTACAGAGGACTGCTGAAGATTTTTATTGCTGTTGTATCTACGTATATGACCCTCTGTTCTGTCGAGCGACATTTGCCAGAGTTCTCTTTTAATAATGTAAGTTGACCTATTGGGGGTGTATTAAGGTCTTTCTCTCCGTGTTATATTCCACCTCTACTGCGCTGTGCTTGAAATAATATTCTTACCCTGCTGTAGCTCGGTAGTAACGACAATGATTGGTTGTCAAGGTGAGCACTGAGGATTCTCCTTCCCTTGTACCCAGGCCATCACTCAGATTTCCTGTTTGTTTTTTTTTTTGTGTGTGTGTGTAATGGTAAAAAATAATCTTTAAAAATGTCAAATCATTTAAGTCCTGGGTGCAGTTGTCCCCTTTCTGAAGGTTGTGAAAGATTGAAAGTATCATTCTGGTCGAGATGTTATCCTTTCCCTCTGTGATCATGGGAATGTCTTGGAGAAATAATCCTTTCCCTCTGTGATCATGGGAATGTCTTGGAGAAATAATGTATTGGACTCTTGGGGAACCTCTTGCCTGTTTTTGGATGTGGCAGTGGCACCGAGCCTCTAGTCGGCATTTAGACCAGGCTTTTGAGGGCTTGAAGAATATCCAGACTCAGTTCGATTGCAAACTTCAACATTCGGTGGATGAAGATAATCTTCAGGCGTATGTTGTGGCTGACAGTTTTCTGTGGAGGTGATTCGGCGGCGCAAAAAGTCCCAGTGATGAGAGCATTTTGAGACTGTACAGGACGGTGTGATGTGGACTCCAGCCACGAGAGTGAGCGGCAGTAGCTTTTTGTGACAAGTGTTTCTACGCAGGCACTGTGGTATATCTGGCGCGAAAGAGGTGCAACCTTAGGCTGATCTGTCTCTTTGTGGTTGACAGAGGTGCTTGACGATGGGGATCAGCCTTTCGCGATCGTATTCAAGGAAGGGCTCCAGACGATCCCGAAAGAGTTTGAAACACGTTTTTGACACCGGATTCGTCAAAAAGTATGTCTGCGATACAAAGGAGGGTGTGGAAAGCAGCCACTATGGAGCAACTCACTTAGCCATTGACAGGCTCACCAGTCAACAGGTGGCCTTGAGGATTATCAGTAAAAAGCAGGTAGGTCGAACAAGAGTGATAATGCAACTCTGATGCGCACATGCTGTGTCAGGTGATAGCCATTCCGAATCTCTTTTCTTTTCCCCTTCCCCTTCCCTTCTTGCTTTTCGTTACTCTTGTTTTTTCCTCTCTCGTTTTTCTAAAGGGCGGTGGTCTTGAGATATCATCACCGAACGTACCAGCCTTGGGCAATTCAGAACTGCAGTATTTTTACTAATTTACTGATCAGCATCCAGCGGAGTTTGAACTCAGGTCTGTATTTCAACAGTTCAGGAACCTCAGGGGTGTATCAACTGAGCTAGGCCACTTGGTACCATCCCAAATCTCTTTTTTTTTTTTTTTTTCATTTGTTTCCCGTAAGGATGACGGCCTTGAGATATCATCACCGAACTGACCGTCCCTAGGTAAATTCGGAATCGTCGTAATTTTGCTCATCTGCTTCTAGTGGAGTTTTTTGAACTCAAGTCTGCATGTCAACAAGTCGGGGGTGTACACACTGAGCTAGGCCAGTTGGTACCATCCTGAATTTCTAATAATGGAAAGGAGCCTTTCCCTTCACACAGTGCAAATTGCTGCTGTACCATACGGGCATGAATACTAACCAATCATCAGCCTTGAGCATTGTCATTAAAAGAAATCTGGCACAAGGGTGATTGCTGTACCCTCGGCTGCACACGCATGTCGTCCTGTGAACGCCATGGTGAATCAATGATGTTTGAAACATTACTTGTCTGTGTTTCATCGAATGCAAATTGCTGCAGCGCTACAGGAATGAAGCCCTAACCTGAGCATTGTCTTTAACAGAGCTCTACATTCTGACGGACAAAAAGAGAAATTCTTCTTGCTGATAGGATTTTGTTCGTCCTGTACTAAATGTTATAGCCTTATGGGCGTGCTGTCTCTGCCCTGTCACTACTGGGGACAACTGAAGGATTCTTTATGTGGAAAAGATCGGCCTGCTGGTTGCATTGCTCATAGCCTGTGACTGGTTGTCGGGTTTGTGCTTAACCGTCTACAGCCTGACTGGGTGACAGGTCATCAGATCGTATGGTTTGAATATATGCCCCGTGGGGGCGAGGAGGGAGAAGATGGATAAGAAAAATCATCAAGGAAGATGTTGCAATTGTGAATCTCCAAATTCGTTCCCTGGCAGAAGTCATTGTAAGATTCACAATCTTTGAAGCATTAGAAGTTAGAACCTAACAAAAAAAAAAAAAAAAAGAATACCAACAAAGGAAAGGAAACACCGGGGGGGCGGGGAGGGGGAGTGGGGTGCTAAGTAAGTGGAATGAACAGGGATCTCACTTAACCAAATAGAATGAGCAGGGATATCACTCTTCAAGTTGCCCTTGGCAACAACGGCACAGAAAATGGACTTGGAAGTCTTGCATGCAGAGCCCTGCAAGTGACACCCTCAAATGCCGCATCTGCTCGTCGGAGTCTCTAGAATGAGAATAGAGTATCAGCTGTATTTGAATGCAAAGGGATTGGATCTGGCTCAATGTGGAATGGTTGATGTCAGCGTGTACATGTGTGTGTGTGTGTGTGTGTGTGTGTGTGTGTGTGCGCGTGTGTGTGTGCGTGTGTGTGTGTGCGAGCGTGCGTGTCCATGTGTGTGTG